GGGTAATGTTTATCCATAACTGGGTACTGAAAAGATAAGCTTATTATACCCGGTATGGATAAATATTACCTCCAGTAGATAAACTTATTATACCCGGTATGGATAAACTTCTACTGGGGGTAATGTTTATCCATAACCGGGTACCGAAGTGATAAGCTTCTTTAGGAAGCTTATTTCTAATATAATACTAAATAGATAAACATATTTACTGTGGAGTCCCATACGGATAAGCTTTTTCAGGAAGCTTATTTACAACGGAGTATTAAATGAACGTCCATAATATAATATATTTATAACAGATATAATAAAATAAAAATTAAGTGAGCATTCACGCAATTACCCAGTAACAATATGAAAAAAAAGAAAAGAAAAAATAATGGGTAAAATCTGTACACGCAACCTGTGTATGTCGCAAGCAAAGAGTACAAACCTCAATTTCTCTCTCTTATTCTTTGCTGATAGATTACCTGCTGCAACACTCAAATTTCCCATTATTCAGAGCCGCGTGAGTCTTTCACCTTCTTCTTTACCGTAAGCTCTTTCTCCATCCCCTCTCTCCTTCTTTTTTTGCTTTGTACCTCTGTATATGTTAGCAGAGCGGTAAGTTTTTTGATTGATTGATTGATGATCTAACCATGTATTGCGTTTTCTTCAATTGGGTCTTGAAATTTTGTTTTTTTAGGGTACTTCTTCATTCCTTCTTTTATGCAATTTAATTTTTTTTTACATTCAAAGAGCAGTGGATGCGGTTGAACCAGCTGCAGAGGGTTAGATCCACATCTTTAGCTTTGTTTGTTCAAAGTGTGGATTTTGAGCACAATGTTGTTAACGTCTATGTACAATCTTCTCTTTGGTGGAGTTTAGTTTTTATTATTAGTGTAATCTGTTAAGAAGGGGTTCATTGAGTTCTCTTCTCTTTGCTCTTTTTTTCTTTTTCTTTTTTTCTCCCCTCCTTTTAACTCTTTTCTCAATTGAAATCTCGGATTTTTATTGTTGCAAAACCTATTTGAGGCCTATTAGCACACCTAGTGTTTCTCCTTGAAGAACTATAGGCAGAATCAGATGCAACAAGCTTATGAGATATGTGGAAAAGAAAGGACAAAACGAAATTAAGAAAGGATTAAATGATCGGGGTTTCCATTCGAACTAGTGCCTTAAGCAGGAAGGACATATAATTATGTGGTGAGGTATCACATATAAGATAAAGCTTGCTTGTAGGAGTGATCTTTCACCTTTATTGAGGAGATATAAAACTAGCTTACTTACTAATACATAGGCAAGAAGCACTTCTTTCTCAAAGTCAACTTTCTCCCTTCGCTAAAAATTCCACATTGAGTATAGGTAGGAGATTCAATTGTGTGAAAATTGATCAAGGTGTTCTAATGTTTTACCATACTCATGGAAATTATGGTGGAGAATGAGGGTAAAATAGAGCTAAAAAGAGAAGTAGCCTCATGTAGCAGGCCCCAAGCAGAGGCGGAACTAGAATTTGAAGCTTATGAGTTCAAGATTCTATTTTTTCTAAGTTATCGGGTTCTAAATTAATAATTTGTACATATTCAATGACTTTTAAAGACAAATACAGAGTTTGGATCAAAACTAATGGGGTCGGCCGAACCCGCGTCCGAAGCTCTAGCTCCGCCCCTTGCCCCAAGTAGTAGAGTAAGGTGTGTATTAAGTTGATCTCAATTGTATAATAGCATTTATCCATGTCTTAATGTGCATCTTTTTACTTGCATTTGGTTCTTGACATCGGATGTATTGGCTTCGTGGTTAGGTTTCCCATTCCTTTCACACCATTTGATTGCATTGTTTGGTTTATTTCTATTTTTTCTATCTGTTTTCCTTCTCTCTGGCACTGATTTATAGAATTCTTTTTTCTGTTGACGGTGTCAACAGTTAGGGTCAGTCCAACTTCTGAAAACATCAGTGCCTTTTGAAGCTATATTCTGGGGTAGTCTGGCTAAAGCTAGGTGATGCACCTAAAAGGGAGGGGGAGAAAGTAAAGGGGAAGAAGCGAGAAGGAGAGAAAGAGAGAGGAATGAGAGAGAGAGAGAGAGAGAGAGAGATCAATTCACATCAAGCATAGTAGCAAAAGGTTCTTTTTATTGTGCAAGGAACTTTGGGTAAGTTAGAATTCCCAATACACTTAAAACTTATCTCTGAAGTGTAATAAGAAGAAAATTATCACATCAATTTCATCAGAAGACTAGACTAAAAACAATCCAATTCAGAGAACACAATGATAAAGGCTACAGTTAATCTAAAAATAGCTAAGCATAAGCTAACAACTAAATAATGATGAAAGTAAATGATTAGTATTAGTTGGAGAAAGTCTTATCATCAATTAGAGATAGAGTTCCATTCATCTCAAGAGATTCGAGTTATTCAGACTCCCTATGATATACAAGGCCCTTCTGTGTCTTTTTTTTTGGTTGCTCTACTGCTATGAGGGGGAGGGGGTGGGAGAGGG